AATGTGGTCAGAAGAATCATAGGATTTTTACGACATATCACATGGTTTGCTTTTCTATGTGCTCATATGAAAAAATATGTCATTATTGACAAAAATATATGAGTAAATATGTTCAATAAGTTAATTACAGTTATGTTTTAGACAGATGGTAGAGAAACTATAATGGACTTAAATATCACATTTATTCCTTTTTACTATCAACAAGTTAAAATGAGTCATTTTACTCTAAAGGAACAAAGATATGATTATTTCTCATTATTGTCTAAGCTTGAGTGTCTAAAGCCTTTTCTTTCAAGGAACCAGGGTGCCATCCATGGAAGTCACAGCACTAGCTGTCAGAGATCTGCTCCAGAAAATCAACATGTGTTGGCCCTGACTTCTGTACTTCTTCATTATACGTATGCCTCAAATCTCTAAGATTCTTCAGTTACTTTTAACATTTGCAAATTATATCCATAACTGTTAGGTAGATAGTGAGGGATTCAGGGTCTCCTAGGGACAAAAAGTGGGTGATATTGTCCCCATCTTGGTCCTGCCCCACCATAATTCTTCATGCCCGGGGAAGAGGAAATACTCTACGAATCTGCAATCAGAACTTGGCATGCCCGCTGCAGAAAGAATGCAGAGGATTCTAGCCAGACGCCAAGCAACACAGGTACCAGAGTGTGAAAGTGACCTAGAACCTGCATGCATAGTTAAGGCTCAGGTCATGTGACTCCCAACTGTCCAATCAAAGTGGTTCCATGGTGACATCTGAATCACGAAGGAGGTCCCTATCTGGGCACAGACCGTAACCAATCCTCTCTCTGCACCCTTCCCTTTGCTCTCCTTTTGCTGTGACAATGGGGCAGGTTGTCTGTGGTGTATGTATCATGCTCTGTAAACCTATATCTGGCTCTTGCCCTATAATCCTATCTTTCCCTCCTCAATAAACCTCATTTTCATGTTTAACTAACTTTGGCGTGTCTGGTCATTCTTCCTCCATGGGCACACCAAGAACCGACAGTTTCAGACTGAAACCTGACATATTCACCTTTCGACAGTCAGTTCAACAGTAGCTGATTTGAAAAATGCTTCTTGATGTACTATCACAGTATACAGATTTTTCTACTTTAAAATAGCTAAGAGCAAAATTATGCAAATAGTATAATAGAAAATATTATATGCTAAGGACCTTAATATACTTTTTAGCTTTAAGTTCTAATATTCTACCTAGTGCTTAGAATGAATTTTTGATTGTGCTTTCAGCCCGATTCTCTTGTTGGAAAGATTTTTAAAGAATTGGAGCTGAATGCTTCAATGTCTGTCCCATTTTATCTGCATTTTCACAAGCATGTGAGTCATTTCTTTCTCACCTCCCACAAATGGCGTGGGTTAAATAGAGCTGTGGGGATTTAAAAAAATAATAATAATTCTGACTTCACAATCTAAAAAGACATAGCTTACATTAAACACACATGCACAGAGAGAGAGAAAGAGAGAGAGTGAACAACCTACCAATACAGCTGCCTCTGAATGTTCCATAAAGTCTTATGCCAGTGATTTATGTTTTGTTGTGTTACGGTTGCCCAGCCTCCTGGATCTTTTGCCGTTTTGTAGGCAAGGTTAAGTCACAGAGTGAATTGGGAGACTGACCTCATTACATCATATGTGCTGAATCACTGTCCTACAACTGTCGCCCTGAAGGCTCCAGGGCAGACACGGTAATGCTGTCCCGTTAGTGTTACATTCATTAATGGGATCGAAATATACTTTCTTCTCTCTCTTTCTCCTTCTCTCTCTCTCTCCGCTCTCATTTGCTAAACAATCAAATGCTTTTAAAATCCTGCAAAACAGCTTTCATTTTAAGGCTCTGATCTAAGGACTTGCCTTGTAACATCTCCAGTGTTCCGACTGTCCTCTAGTGGCTGTTTTCAATCACATTATGTTTCAAAAGAAATTTATCTTTGTTTCTTTACTGTGTCGTGTCTCAAACAAAAACCTACGTGCCTGGGAGTCATCCTTTAAGGATAGGATGCTTTTATGTTCGAAAAGAACAAGAGAAGAATGATGACTTTTAATTTCTATTTTGCTTCATCCTTGCTACACTTTGAAAACCTCAAACCTATGAAGTGTTAAATAAATTAACTCATGAGTGTGCAGCCTCCATGAGTGAATGCAATAGTTTAAGAATACTCATTCTTTGAAGAACAAACCGCTTTTGTCTGCACCACTCCATTTAAGGGAAAACTACTTCTGGAATCCTATCCAACCTCTCCGTATACTAAATTATTTCTACTGTTACTCTAATTATCAGCCAGGAGGCTTATTTGTAATCACCAGCTTTCAATAATTTAAATAGGTAGTTGTTCAGCCAACTATTTTTATTCAAAATGCCACAAAAGCTAAAATTGCATGTTGAATTTGATCCAGATGCTGTCTTCTTTTAGGACATGCCAGCTGATGCAGGGCAGTTGTTCATTTTCTTATAACATTTTAGAAGCGCATTTTTACTTCATGAATCTAACTGGCAATCTAAAATGAAGTCTACAATTTATGTATCAGTTCAATTGCTTACCAGAACCAGCAGGAAGGACATTTTAAGAATTAATTCCGCACACTGAATCACCAAACATAACCACGCCCAAGCCATGTTATTCCTCAGACTTTAGAGAGGAGCTTTTCATCATCTATTCGAATTCAAACAAGAACTGTTTTAGTGATTACATTTTCCACCAATAATAAGAAAGACCAATTTAAATCAGTTTGCTTACTACTTCTTTAAGGGCCCTAAAAGTCTTTTGTCTAACTTTTCTTTCATACTTTTGTATACAAAGTGGATCAACCTCTTAATCTCGAAAAGAACTGAATCAGACAAAGTCCAGATTCCTTAAGAACAAATTTCTATCATCTCCAACTTTTTTAGCTCAGTAATTATTACCTTCTGGACAGGCAGAGGAAATCACTCTGAAAAGTTCCAGAGCTGTAAAATTGCGAAATTGAAAAGCTAGGTGAAAGGTTTTTCTGTTCTGTGAAATTTGCCAGAGTTTGCCAGTTCCTGGTTTTGCACTGAAAAAGTTTCAAGGAAGGTTTGTGTCCTCCTTTGTCTGAGTCTTTGTTCAAAAAGTGTCCATGGAGTGGCTAATTGCTATTAGCAAATGCAAATAGAAACAGTTGCCTCAGTGCAGCTCAACAGTCCTTTTGCCAGTCTCAGCAGGCTCCCTCTTCTGTTTCTCACTGTGGGTTTTCTAAGCCTTCCCCCATCCCTGCAAGTCCTTCCCAACTCCCCACACTCACTGGCAGCAGATGACCTTGGCTCTTACCTCACAGAGGAAGCAGAATCTATCCATAGTAACTCTTTCCAATTTCTTCTACTCAATGGACTTCCTCACCTTTGCAATCTCACTGTTACCTCTTTTCTCAGGAGCAAGTGTGGGTGAGACGAGGAGGCTTCTCTTACTGTTTTATTCCTCTTATTTTCCAAGACTAATCTCCCCACCTCACTTCCTTTTCCCCAGAGCTCTTCCCCTATCCTTTCTCTTCTCTCTCACATATCTTCAGTCTCCCCTGAAGAGGAGAGACTCACTCCCCTCATATGAATATGATGCAGTCTCTCCCAGAGTATTGAGTTGGGGTCTACAAGGTTCTGAGTAACAACCCGCAGCTCCCTCTAGAACACAGGGGCCACTAGTGGCTCCTTGGAGAGAAGCTGCCATGATTTTGATTCTGGGACTCTGGCCTCATGGCACTGGATTATTGATAAGGGCTCTGGCTAAAGACAGCAGATATAAAGACAGCCAGAGGCAGCTCGGATATAAGAGCCTAAACTATATAGTGCTTGAGTTCTGCTTGGGTTCCTGTTTGCAAGGGATAGAAAATGATTCTGGCTAATTTACCCTCAATAGGAAATTCATTGGAAGGATGTCTGTGGCTAATTTATCTATAGGAGCCTAGAGGACCTGGCTTAGAAAAGAAGCAGGAGCCAAAGTGGGTTTGTTGTCAAACACAGGTTCTGTTGCCCGCCACCCAAGAACCAGACATGAGATGTGAGTGTTGGTGAAGGAAAGGTGGTTTATTCAAGTGCTGACAGCCTGAGGAGATGGTGGGCTATTGTCTCAAAGACCATCTCATCTCCTCTGCTGGGACATAGGGAAGTCGTGTCATGAAAGTGGTAGAATCACAAGTAGAAAGGACAAATGGATGCCCACTCTGAGGGGCAGTGAGACAACAGGTGGCCATAGGTGCTGGGTTGCATGGGATGCTGGAGATGGCTCAATTCTGGAGGAGTGTGTAGTGTTCACAGGCTTTGGAGTCAGAGAATCATCTGTGTCCCTGGGACTTAAATCCCAGCTTCACAACTTTTAGCTGTCATGTGACTTTGTTTCTTAACCACCGTATGCCTCCATTTCCTCATCTGCAAAAATTGTAGCTATTTCACATGGTCAGTATAAGAATTCAGCAACGATGCATATATGTGCTGAACATAGTTCCTGGAATATTAAATGTTAGCTGTTATTATTGCTATTATTATTTCATGTCTCCTATGATTTTACAAATCTTGTTCTATTCCATTATCTTCATGAAAAATTCCAACTTATCTTTTAAGATCCAGTTCAGTTATTACCTCCTCAGCAAATCCATGCATGAATTCTCCCCCTTCCCTAGGCAGACTAATAATGCAGTTCATGTCAATACTTATTGAGTGACTACTATATGCAATGTACAGTATTTTTCTAGGTGTTGGAGATATCAAAGATGTCTAATATATAGTTTGTTTCCTCAAAACCTATAAACTGAAGGGAGAAACAGAGACACGAACACAAAATTTTAGTATCTTCTTGTAAATACCTTGGTAGAACTATGACAAAGCAGCAAAATGTTTTGCATTTTCTTCTACCTACATCATGCCTTTACTGTAGCAACTGTACCATTATTGTTTAGTTGTTTGTATATCTACCTCTCTTAATAGGCTGTAGACTTTTTGAGTTCAAGAATACTTTTTTTCATCTTTTTATCCCCAGGATAAATGAGGCACTCAATATCTTTGTTGAATAAGGTAAGATTCCATTGTATTTTCATTGAAAAACTTAATTATCAGCTTTCAGAGATGTCATTCCTAGTTGGTTATTATTAGTTAAGATAAAAAGTTTTATTTTGAAATTCCACAAGTTATTTCCTTACCTCAAATTAAGATTCAGTCATGACCGAAATTTCAAATCTTGGTTGAAATTTGAATAAAGGGAGGGAGATGGGTGTGGCGAATGCTAAGCCAAAGCTGTTGGGTTGCTGGGGTTTCCTGAGTGGGTCCTACTCAAGATAATACACCAGGTTTGGGAAAAGCTGATGGGGACCACTAGGAGTAGAAGAGCAGGTAGAGAAAGAGGTTGGGCCGGATGGACACACAAGGGTGGGTGGAGTCCAAGAAAGAGGAGATGAGGGGAGGAAGGACACTCTGGGGCATTCACTATGTGAGGAGGAAGAGAGGCTGATGTGAATGGAGAAGAACAAGGCAGAGATCTGAGGTGGATGGGCCATGGGAGTGGAGAAGATGGGGGGTATGTGTCAATGATTGATTGATTCAGGGGTTATGTGAAACATTGGCATGCATAGCAAATGCTTAGCAAGGTTGAATGAACTATTGAATTGTCAAAAGGAGTCATGTATGAAAGAGTCAAAATGGCAGTCCCTGGGCATCAGGAGGGAGGGTGACAGGCATCCTCCCACCTCCAGGTAAGCCAACATCAGTGGAATACTGGGGGCAAGGACCCAAGAAGTAGGGTCCAATCCAGATTGTGGTATTCCTCTCCCACCTCTGAGTGTTATGTTATACAACTCTGTACCAAAAATGCATGTGGCTCACCTAGTACAATCATTTACCCATAATGTTAATATGTCATTTTCTCTGGTTTTGACCTGGTGGGTGAATTTTGTCAATGTTCATTCCCTTTGTCTGTGTGTTTTCTTTTATGGTTTATGGCTATGGTTTGTATTGATTAATGGCCAAACATCACTTGAAAATATAATAGAGCATTATGGAACTGCTGAGTAACTAGACTATATTTTGTTTATGTGACTCAGGATTGGCAGCTTTACAATTTATGTTTTATCTCCTTTGGCTAGTTACCTTGATCAATCAAGCCAAATGGAAATAGAGCTCACTTTAGGTGGTAGTGGAGCATAAGCTAGAGGACTTCGGCAAAGTAGAGTTGACAGTCTTTCAGAGCAGGAAAGGATGTTGTCCAGTTTCTTCAGATTGCAAATGTGAGGAATGAACTTTGAGAAACCAAATGACTTGCCAAGGCCATGCTGGGGGAGTAGAAATAGGAGGCCATGTTCCCTCTCTACAGTTGAGGATGGAATCTTCAATACTTGTCACAGGCAGTAGGAAAAACACAAGTTGTCTACCATGGGTAAGTGGAGAAGGAATTTTTAGAAAATTTAAATCAGGTTTTATTTACCTGTTTTTCATGTAAAATCTCCATTCCCATAGGCCTAGGATCTATTTTGAGAATTAGTGGTGAAATGATCACATTTGTCCTTAAGGAAGTTAATCTAGAGAGAATATTTCTTATTACTGTTAATTAGTAAAAAGAAAACCATATATTAATATATTTGTAAAAATCTTACTCACTGCATTATTCATTCAAAACTAGTCTTATTGGCATCTTTTTAAAACTTGTACAAGAAATATATTACCTTTTCAATACTATCCTATTCTTTCCAGATACTGCCATTGGTTTTTTTCTTGGATTGACTTAGTTCAGAGAGTTAAAATTTTATTTGAGATATTTATAATAGTGATTTCCTGTTTGGTGTCATTTGTGCTTGGTGATCTTTTAGATCACCCGGTGTAATGCAGGATAAGATACCTATCACTTTGTACTTGCCTTAGTCTGTTCAGGCTGCTACACAAATGATGGATACATTAGACTGGGTGGCTCATAAACAACAAATTTATTTCTCATAGTTCTGAGAGCTGGGAAGTTCAAGATCAAGGTGCTGGCAGATTTGGTGTCTGCTGTGAGCCCACTTCCTGGTTCACAGATGGCTGTCTTCTTACTCTATACTCATATGGCAAAAGGGGTAAGAGATCTCTCTGGGTCCCTTTTATAAGGGCACTATTAAAGCAAATTAAAATGGAGAACTTGTGCTATTGCTTGTAAATGCTTACATTAAAGAAAAATGAAACTTAAGAGTAACCAATCAGAAGTCACCAACTAACTTATATGATATAACTAGGGACTTTCCAACAGAGACAGACAAAGCAACTTTATAACTGCAACCAAATTGTCTTACATCCGTATTCACTGTATGAAAGCCTGTCTTTAATGCTTCATCAACAAAGCCCCCGAACCACTTCTAGTTTGGAACTGCTGGATTCACCAATCACTGTTTGCTCAAATAAACTTTAAAGAATTTTATTGTGCCTCAGTTTACCTTTTAACAGTACTAATCCCATTCATGAGGGCTCTGCCCTCAAGACATAATCACTTCCCAAAGTCTCTATCCCCAAATGCCATTGCATTAGGGATTAAGTTTCAACATATGAATTTGTGTGCGTGTGGGGGGGAACACAGACAGTCTATAGCAGAAGTCTTCAGTGAAGACCCTAGAAGAACCCTAGAAAACCACTTTAAAGTTGTATTGGGACAAACCCTGTATTCCTATATTCTTTGATTCACTGCTATAGAATAAAACATTGCTATCTCTCATTTTGCTTTATAACCTGTTTGTTCGTTTAAGTGTGGTATGTATGTGTGTGTGTGCGCGTGCTGCTCTGGGGAAATAATAGTATAAAACATGATCGTTAATATAAAGTGATCCCCTACTTGGGGAGCAAAAGCCTATATATATGAAAAGGTGAATGGAATATTTACCAAGATGAGACCTCACAAAATACTGTGTATTTTGATTAATTTTTCAAGTAATACCTTTCAATTATTGAACATCTGGTCCACATTCCTTACTTTTATTTAATTCCTGCAGGAGAAGTTTCAGATCCATTTTGCTTATGAGAAAAAAATGAAGCTCAGAGAGGTTAACCTGCCAATGTCAAATGGAAAGTGAAGGAAGTGTGCAAATTGAAACCTGGGTCTGTTTGTATCCACAACCCCTGTCAATTCTTATAAAGCCTATATAATAGAGATTTATCAATTTTTTTTTTTTTTTTTTTTTTGTCATCCAAGCATCAGAACCCGCTTTCTATGTTTGGGAAATGCTCTCCCTGTGATGCCTTGCCAGCTGCTCACCTTCCAGGGGCCTTGCTGTTAGGGCATGTGGCTGGGCTCTGCCACTCAGGTCCACCTGCTCTCCAGACTATAAGTCAATGTTTAGGACACAAAGAAGCAGGCACCACCCAGAATATATTTGGACATTTGGGAGTGGAGGTGGCAACCACATTTGGTGCCTAAAGGCAGCAGCAGCAGTGGCTGCAACAGGGTCCAGGGTCTGATCACCAAGGCTGCTTGAAAGTGCTGTGGGGTCTGGGCTTAGCAGGAGCTTCCAATGTCTTTACCTGACAAGTCCTGTGGTTTGACTTTGGGAATTTTTTCTGGCTATAAAATTCCTAAGTTTGCTTCTCTAGCCTTCCCAGAGAATATGTGAGCTATCCAGTGTCTTTTAAATAATCTCTATTTCTGCTTTAATTTGTCTGAGCCACTTTCTTTTACTTGCATCTAAAATCCCTGAACTGTGACTGAAAGCTGCGTCAGAAGAGATTGTAGGCAATAGACTTGCATGAAAATAGGAGGGAAACTTTACTTTATTCTATCCTTTATTTTTCCCTTTAACCCCTGTTAAAGGGAAACAGGAAATCAGGTTGATATTAAGAAACTGGACCTGAGCAGCCATTGAAATTCATGAATAAACAGCTAATCACATGGTCACGTGTGATGGCCCTTGGGTGATGGCCTCACTGAAGGCTAGGTTGGCTGGTGAAGTGCTTGCTGCAAGAGAGTGGGTGAAGGGTGTGAGGGATTCAAGGACTGTGGATCACAGCAATGGACTGTTTAATGGTAGAAAATGACAAACTCAAAGTCCTTAACTCTTAAGCTTAAGGCACCACTGAAAACTAGTCACCTTCTAAGATAGTGTAGCAAAGTAGTCACCCTTCCTCCCATAGAGACGGAATCATAAAATTGACAGTGGGAGATATGTAACAGAGGAATGGCCTGAAAAAAAAAACAGCAAAAAATATTTTCTGTCTCTTTAAAACTTTTCCCACTCTTTTTGAGAACTATAGCCTGGCCTGCATCCTTGCCTCAGGCAGGGAGAATGAATTTTGTTCTTTGTGTTACAGGAGGTAGCTCAGCTATCCCAGGCTGGTGTGAGCCTCCCAGGTGGGCCCAGGTGGGTGGAGGTCACAGGCTTTGTCTTCAGTGGTGATGGGATGATTATAGTCATTAACACAGTAGCCTAGAACTGAGGGCCCTCGCTTTAAAAGTTCTGTATTTCTGCTTATGTGGAGGAAATTTGGATTTTGAGATGAGAATCTACCATTTTTCCTCCTTTGCTGGCAAAGTAATAAACTTCTCTTTCCTTCTCCTCAAAGTACTTGTTCTCATTCTTTTGATGTGGCTTTTAGGACAAGTGTTGAGCTTTTTGTAATAGTAGTGCTGAATTGGAACCTACACTCCAGGATTTATCCTCCAGGTTGCTTTCTTACATCAGTTTATAACCTTTCCTAGCCTCTTAGGAAAAAGTTTGAGCTCTGATGAACCTAGGATATTAAGCAGGTCCCAGTATGGAATGGAGATGTGTGACAGTTGGGTTACTCAGTGTTCAAACCTTCAAATGCCAGTGTACTGCCTCCCTCCAATGTAAGTATGCCCCAGAACCTGGTGCAAAGTTAACCCTGAAATTTGAAAAATTTTGTTAACTTATATTTGCAAAAATCTGGCTGATACATGTGTCAATGGTTTCTGAGGATGTTGACTAAAAAGGGAAGAATGTAGTTGAGCTCAAGCAGAATTTGTCAATATAGGGACCTGCATCTATACATAGTCTTATGTCCAACTGGGAGTGATTTTAATTACTCTTTGTAGTTGACTGATGAAA